TCAGATAACAGAATGAAGAAAAGTGGAATCAGTTGCTATCTTGGAACATTCTAGACTGTCCAAAATTTTCTCTGCTTCACGCAACCCACTCCAATAAGCACCAGACATTGATTGAGGAAACTGACAGCAAGTAGCCTGAAAAAGAAAATGAATATATTGGAAATACAAACAAATTCATCATGCTAAGTGCTAAAAATAATGTTTAAAATTAAGATCCAAAATTATGGTACACAATATAATCACTATTAAATAAAATTTACATAATTTTCTCAGATTTTATAACTGGATGCTGCCAACATAGAAAAAGGAATTATTGCTTCCAAAAGAAAATTGGCTCTCTCTATACAAAGATGGATGTTATGGCTTTTGTTATAAAATTTGCAATACTGAGCTTAGAAAAACTTCTATATAAATAAAATTCTTGGACTGCTAAGATTATATATTTTCCTGAAGTTATCAAAAACAATTTCAGGATGTTGTGCAATTTTAATGAAAGCAATTAAGAAAAACAATAACATAAACTGATAAATTCTAACCTCTCCAGCAAAGAAGACTTTCTCCTCAACCTCTTGTGCAATGTGTGAGTACACTGAAGCATCAACTCCAACAGGAATGTAACTGTATGACATCCGAGTGAACCGGTCATTTTTCCAATGACTGGTATAATATGCATTTGGCTCAGGGACATTCTGAAAATTACCAAAAATTCAAATTATAAGTAACACATTTTTGTTTGTGGTATCAATATATTCAAGTTAGCAGAAATAATTTAACGGTCAATGCCCTTAAATGATGTATAGAAACCAGTATTATAATATATTTTCACCTCTAGGATGTGTTTCAGCAATGGAGGCACATTTCAAGATATTAATCAAAGTCATCATACTAAACAATAAGAGTGACACTCATAATATTGAGTTGTCTGGAAAGTTCATGCCATTTTTAAGGGAAATTAAAACACAAAACAAAATTATGCCATTAAATATTTATTCAACTAAATATGAACCATTTTGTTGCACAACCTTTCTCCATTTTTCAGTCACCTTAAAAATACCATCTTCCCAGAAGTTCAGTGGTTTCTTGACAAAGAACTCATTAAGGTGTTTTTTATGTTATCCAAAGAATTACATTTTTATCATTGAGATTATTTTGCAAGGACCTGAATAAATGAAAATCCAAGGGAGCAAGGGTGAATATGGCGGGCAGGGTAACACATCCCAGCCAAACCGCAGCAATTTTTTGGCTGGTCACCAAAGAAACATGAGGTTTGGCATTATCATGATGGAAACCAACACTTTTTCCGTTTGCTAATTCTGGGCATTTTTCTTAAATTGCTGCCTTTAATTCATTCAATTGTGAACAGTACTTTTCAGAATTAATTTACTGATTACTTGACAGAAGCTTATAGTACAGGATTCCTTTCCAAGCCTACCAGATACACAGCCTGACTTTTTTAGGATGAAGACCTGCTTTTGAGGTAGCTAAAGTTGGCTCATGTCACTTACCCCAGTTTTTTTTTTTTTGCTGAACATTGTTGTAAACAATCCATTTCTTGTCACCTGTCGCAATTTGCTTAAAAAAAGAGTTCATTTTCATTGCTTTTATACAGCAAATCACAAATGAAATGCAATCCAAAAGGTTCTTTTCACTCAGATCATGTGGTACCCAAACATCATAGCAATTTGAGTACCTAAGCTTCACTAAGTGCTCATGAATAGTGAATTTTGATAAATTTAGTGTTTCTACCATTTCCTACATTGTGTAATGCAGGTTATTCTCAATTAATGTCTTGATTTGGTTGTCATCAGTGGTGGTGGTGGTGGTGGTTGGGGGGAGGGCTACCTGAGCATTCTTCATCAGTAAGGTTACAATCACCAACTCTAAACTTAGTGAACCACTTCCGTACAGTTCTGTCAGCTAAAGCACCTTCACCATATACAGCACATATCGTTTTTGTTGCTTGCGAAGCATTCTTGCCTTTATGGTTTAAAAAAAAAAAAAAAGGAGCAGCAAGTGTCTAAAATGTGCCTTATAATCTTCCATTTAGGGTTGCAAAATTAACACAAATTATGTAACTTTAAACTTTATTTCTCAAGAGGGAATTTGAAGTGTGCTCTAATCAGAAATGTAAGCATATTATATCTGTTGATAAATTTGATGTGTTCTAACATGTTGGAACATGAATGACTAAAAATTGGCACAAACTTTCCAGACAACCCAATATTATAACTTAATATTTATAGGTATTCAAGTTAAAATATTTAGTTATCTTGTATAATTCATAACAATAATGGTATAAATAATTTTTCATATATTGTGACTGAAAAGAATTTCAATTTTGAAATTAGATCATTTAAGTAATATCAATATCTGCAGTGTTTTTTTTGTTTTTTTTTATCTCTAATAATTCTATCAATAATTTAGACTATTTTTACAATGACAACAATGAAGTATAATTTGGTGAATATAATAGAAAGTTACACCAAGTTACAATTTCCATTCATTGTGATGACAACCAGTATGCAAAAGAACAACATCAGAATGTACATGCAATCATGGCAGTGAATGCGGTTCACTTAAATGAAAAAAAAAGAGGGGATTTTCTACTCAGGTAGGGACCAATACCAACACAATATATCAAATACAAATATAAGATGTAAAGTTATAATTATTTTAATATATAAAAGCAGAATGAAAGATGGAAACGACAAACAAAGAATAGGAGAAAGGAAAGAAAATCTAAGAACTATTACAAGAGAAATGTTCAACGTCCATTTATCTGTCATATAATGTTATCAACGATTTTTTTGATTATTATTTTTTTTCTTCTTTTAAACATGGTTCATAGCAGACAGATCTTGAGATATTTCTTTTCATATGAAAAAGTGTTCTGGTCAATTAATGTGGTTTGTTGGGCTTATCAATCCGAAAGTACCATGCTTTTCATTCGCAGAAGATACATAATCCTGTCTTTTGAATTCCTGATAATACCAAAAGTTTTTTTTCTTTTTTCTGTCTCTGGAATATCAGAACACAATTTTACATGATAGTTAGCCCACGGAAAATTTTTTTATGTCTTCTCGATACAGCAGCCATAATCTTTCTGATCAGATAGTATAGGGGACGCCTCTTACCATTGAACACCACATATAAAATTAAAATCGCCGAACACCTCATATAAAATTGACAATTCAACTGTTGACCGAATTTAAAAGTGTTCATGGTATGACTCTTTTTGAGATCGATAAACTATTATGAATAATAATGTTTTTGGATAGCAAGAACGATATACTGATAAAACTATCATGAGAAATACTGAAGATTTTATTTCCCAGAAAGCAAAAATTTCTAAAAGAACCAGACAACTAGTTAGAACAACAAGCAATTTTACGACCCAACCATATGGTAGATAATTTTGACATTTGATGGACACTGGCTGTGAAACCAGTCAAGGTTTAGGAAAACTTCTTGTGGAGATAAAGGTATTTCTTCGGAGATTGTCTCTGGCATTGGTGAGGGCCATCTGTTTTTTTTGTTCAACACTAAGAGTATGAAAAACCAATACTGGTAACAGTTGCTTATGAGGTGATAACCCCAGAATAATAATTCTTTTAATTAACTGTAAGTGTAAGCGTTCTCAAAGCAAATTTGTCGCAGATTACTCTCCCAACAAACACGTAAAAAAAAATGCCTGAATTTTCCTTCTTGGCAGATCGCACAAAAAACACGAACTTTTTTCGAAGGTACCTGATTATCTCTTTCACTACACTCCCCCCTGTCACATAAGTGACACTCATGGGCGGGCCTCTTTATTCTTAAGCTTCTCTGGAGCGGGGCGACTGTTGGAGGAGATAGTGTGTTATGTTCTGAGGTTTCTTCTGATCTGACAACCTCATGCGCAGTCTTCATCATCTGAAGAATGTTCTGAGGATTCTTCTGGTCTGACAACCTCACGCACAGAGTCTTCACCATCTGAAGAGGTGCTATCCCTACCTCCGATGGTAATTATTTGTTCACTTTCTGAGCCCTCACTGCTAGTGTCACTTGTTGACGTATCTGTACCTACATAGTGACGCAAGTCCTTTATGTGTCTTGGTATGCCATCAACCAGCACAGAGCGCGAGTTACTTAGTCCAGTGACATGCCCCACACGCGATCGCCCAAGACATACGGGCGACGCTCGCTTGTTTATCCGTTCAGTTGAATTTTTTTCCAATGCCTCGTAGCCGACTTTGTACTGATAAATCATGTTGGCTGGCGCAGTTGAGGGCGATACATTATTGTCTCGGAGTAACATTGTACCAATACACCGCCTCCATTATGGAACACTGCTTCCTAGCAGCGATTCTTTGATGTCCGATGACATCGCCGATTATGCCATTCCCTGATGGGACATATGTGCAGTGAAATCTGAGGTGTACTCCCCACGAATCCACAAAATTTTTTGAATAGCCCACTGGGGAATGCAGTGTCGTTGTCAGTGAGGAGTTCCGTTGGAGGTCCACGTTCAAAGAACAATGACCCCAAGTGGTCAATGACGCTTTTGAATCTTGTCGACGAGACGCCGCCAAATAGTGAACCGGTTGGGCCACAGTCAATCAGGGTTAAATAGTGATGTCCGTTATAATGGGTGATGTCCATCCCAAGGAGCAGATCGAAACCTAACAACGCGCTGTCTACGACCAACACACTGATTGTGACTGGGTCACTGTTGTTGATACTGAGTTTGATGTTTCCAACTCCCCAGCTTCTGAGAGCCTTTCCATCAGCCGTTAGTACGTCCATCTTTTGTCTGCTCTACTGTCGGCAAATCGAACCGTTCGTGGAGTGACCGAGAGCAGCCCGAATCTATTAAAGCGGTACGCGTTATTCCATTGATGCGCACCTTAATCACAGGGAGTGCCTCTTTCATGCTCAGTGTGGGGAAGAGACCGGGCGCTGACATCGCGGCCCCCATTCCATTTCCCGGACACTTAGAAGCAATATGACCTACTTTATGACATTGAAGCATCAGAGATCGAGACGCCTTTCGGCCGACCCGCCTGCGCATTTCTTCGCGTTGATAGCGGCAGTCTCTTTGATAAAATGATTCGCCCAGAGCACCGATAGCAGGTGGCAACGCCATGGTGACAAATGGCTGGGGTCGGACCTTCTTTGACTTCAATTGGTTGAATAACTGCGGCCACTGGTTCATCAGCCTCTTTTTCGTTGATCATGACAGCACGGGCTCTGGTCAACAATTGATTGAACATCAGGTCTTCCATTCTGGATGATGCTTAACATAACTGGGCAATCCAGAAACGAAGGCACATGTCATCCATTCTTCAGGAAGTGGTGTGATTGGATTGGCGATCTTCTTTAATTCTGCCAAATATACGTCTACTGTCTCGCCAGGTCGCAGACGCCGTGCCTGGAATTGGTCGTAGGCCATGAACCGGTCAGTTCCAAACGCGGTTAGTAGAGCGAGCTTTATTTGCTCAATGTCACTTTTCTGTTCTTTACTCAGCTGCCTATACACAGCAAGGGCACCGCCATTCAATCGCAGTGGAAGAATCCGTTCAATTTTCATGATCTCGCATAATTCGCATACCAGTTCCAACTTTTCGATCCATTCAACCACAGACTGTCCACTTGTATCACCACTGAATTCGGGGATCAGTTTTATATCGAACGGTCTTTCCGCCATCTT